GTAAACCCCACGTTCACTCACACTGATGTTCCCTCGTTGGGTAATGAAATGTCTGCAAGCACCTAGGAGCCCACAGATTGGTGTTCCTCAACCTTGGCAATTTTAAGATGTGTGGACTTCACCTCCCAGAATTCCCCAGCCAGCCTTGCCAAGGTTGAGGAACACCAATCTGTGGGCTCCTAGGTGCTTGCAGACATTTCATTACCCAACGAGGGAACATCAGTGTGAGTGAACGTGGGGTTTACTGGCTGTTTATATACAGTAGTTTGCCCTGCCAGTGTTGGTGGGGGTGTGGTTTTCTCCTTGATACAAACTGAGTCTATGTTATGACTCAGATGACACCCACTGTGATTGTTATGAGATGGGTAGCCATATAAATTCTTTAAATAAACAAACTTAAAACATCAGCAAATGACTCTCAAGGACTCTGGGTGGTAATCTAATCATAGGATTGATTGATTGATTGATTGATGAAGGTAGGCAATCACAAGAGAGATAATAGGTAGAGCGGCCCTTGGTGAAATTTAGAGGGTGAAGAATGGGTATGGGCCTATGAGGGCACTTCTAGAAAAATCCCCTTTTCTTTGCCACCCAAATATTCCCTACTGAATAGGTTTTACTGAGTTATGGGGCAGTTCCTCTCCCAAAACCTCTACGGAGGCCGAATATATTCAGCAAGGCACCATACGGCGCAGAGCAACCACAGATATTGACCCATTGATCTATTCAGTTCTGCTCATCCCGGCTGACAGCAAGTATTTCAGACAACAAGATTTCAGAAGAAGGCCATTTCTAACCTGCCTGCGATCCCAGAGGTTGAACAAAGAACTTAAATATGAAACAAATGCTTCTTTATCACATTTTAATGTGTCAATATTTCTAAAAGCCAGCAACACCCCTTCTGCTTGACTCTCAGCTGCCTGTTTCACTTCAACACTAGCAGCGTCTCTGGACGTTTTCCAGAATCTCTGAGATTGTATGTTACCTGCCCTCTAGGATGTCCCTCCTGGATGGATTTTCATGTTTATGAAACACGGAAGAACTACAGAACCTTTTTTCACAGAGTGAGCATCCGTATGGTTTCTCTCTGACATGAATTTGCTTGTGGACGCCCAAGCTGGATTTCTTACGGAAGCTTTTCCCACAGTAGGGTGGCTTGTGGGGTTTCTTGCCCGTGTGCAGTATAGCATGCTTCCTGAGCTGCGAGCTAAAAACAAAGCTCTTCCCATAATCAGGACAGCCGTACGGCCTCTCTCCTGTGTGGGCCCTCATGTGGATCATGAGCCGTGACCTCTGTCTGAAGTTCACCCCGCAGTCTAAGTGCTGATATGGCTTCTTGCCCATGTGCGTCCCTTTGTGTGATTTCAATTGGGAACTGGTCCGAAAGCTTTTTCCACATTTGGAGCACTCGTCAGGCTTCTCACCTATGTGGGTCCTCTCATGTTTCACTAGTGATGCTCTTTCCCTGAAGCTTTTGCCACAGCCCAAACACTTGTGGTGGTTTCTCACCTGTGTGTGTCCTTTTATGGAGTTTGAGGTGGTAGCTGGTCAGGAAGCTTTTCCCACACTTGGAGCATTCATACGGCTTCTCTCCTGTATGGGCCCTCTCATGTTTGATGAGGGGAGCCTCTTTCAATGAAGCATTTGCCACAGTTGGAGCATTTATGTGGCTCTTCTCTGGTGTGGATCCTCAGGTGCTTGACCAGAATCCCCTTTTCCCCAAAAGCTTTTCCACATTTGGTGCATTCGTACAGCTTCTCTCCTGTGTGAGACCTCTCATGATCAATCACAGTGGATTTTGTGTTGAAGCATTTGCTGTATTTGGAACATTTATATGGCTTCCCCCCTGCCTGGATTCTCTTGTGGTTCACGAGGTTAGTTTTCGAATCAAAACTTTTCCCGCGCTCTGAGCAAATAGACTTTTTTCTTGCTGACACAGCGCTCCCCTGTTGAATAATGGAGCATTTGCTGTTAATTTTCTCATATTTCTCCAGTTTATCCTTTGCTTGCACATGTGAAGCATCTGGAACACTGATGGTTGGACACCATATCTGGTTCCTCTTAATTCCAGCCTTTTTGCCACAGTGAAAATTGGCTTAAGTTTTCATCACCTTCTTCAGGCAGGAAAGCTTCACTGGCTTCATTCCTGAGTGCCTTTGTGCTCCCTTTGGATTTACTGGTTTTCTTTTAACCCCAGAACCCCAGAAAAATGATCTTTTGACTCCTTCCAATGGACTCTTACAAACGTCTATTTCTTCATATCTTCCCACCTGGAAGGTCTTCTCCTTATGATTGGCCCATATCCATCATACTCTGGGAGAAAGAGAAAAGCATTTATGTCACACTGCTCCCCTAACAATAACTTCCATTTCAAACAACTTCTTGTATGAATTCTAGTATCAGAGGTTGTCCCCAAATCTTCCCTCTTCAATTTACCCTATTCTCTTAAAGGCCATCTTGTCTTCCCCTTCCCACTTGACCTAGGAAATCCCAAATTCAAGCATCCTCATTTGAAGGCCTTCCAGCATCTATCTGAACACTCCACTTTGGAAGGACCTCATCATCGAGAAGACTCTCTTCTTGGGCAACAGAGAATATAGTTCACGTATCACTAAGCTACAGAGCAAGCAGTAGGAATTGTTGGCCTCCTCCAAATATAAGATTCTCTAATCTGTACCACTAAGTTATGGATCGCATCATGGAGAAAATCTATCTATGTGGTCACTAATAATCAACATTGACTTGATGGTGCATAAATCCATCACATAATCGGTTCACCTGGCAGAAGTTGGGAACACAGGCAACAGCTAGCCCAATATTACATACTCAACTTACAGGAGGTCTCTAGCTTTTCTAGCAGTCACATCTTTCCCATTCTCTGCAACCTAATCCTTTCAAGCAAAGGTTCTGTGAACCAAAAATTCTCTGATGGAAACTGGGACCATCTCCTTCCCCAGAAAATGCCATTTGGCTTAGTGGACCATCAGATGTCAAGGACTACACAACCAACTCCTTCTGCAAGATGCTGGCACTTCCCTGGGTTTCAAAAAGAGTGCAGAGAACCTTCTTGGCTCAAAGCACCCCAGAAATGTTTGCAATTATTGACATTCTGCATCCTTACCTAGTTAGTTAGTTAGCTTCCCCATCATTCTCTTGTTTTATCTCCAGGGGAAGCTTCACCTTCACAATGTCCAAGGCCTCTTCCTCCAATTTGAGCGATTTTATCATTGTGTCCTTTGGAATGCCTGAAAAAAGAAAAAGGAAAGTTGATTCAACTCAAAGAAGTCCTGGAGGAGTTATGCACCAGGCTTGCTCTCCATTCCCTGCAAGAGGAATAACCCTCAAAGCAGTTGGGGGAGGGGATCCAATTTGGAGTTGAATGCACAAAAATCACATTTCCCAAGCCAATTCTGAAGTCTGAATTCCCGAATCAAATGACATGCTAAGTCAGAATCAGATTAGGTGCAATTTGAACGCCCCTAAAAAAGATTCTTTATTTCTTCCACAGCTAATATGACAAAGGAAAGAAGTAGCTTCAGGCAGCTATGTCCAGAAGGTGGGCAGCTGTAGATTCTTTTGAACCACACTTCTGAACTGAGATGTAGATGAACTGTCAGAGAGGTACAGAAACCCATTAGCTGCAACTCTGAGGCACAGCGACCAAAAGATTGTTTCCTACTCCACCAGAGATACTGGGTAGAAAAGGGGACATTGTGCAGTTTAAAAAGGTTAAAGGGAAACTCAATGTATGAAAAGGTGGTTTATTATGTAAGTACAAAATTTCAGCATAAGAATAGTGTGCTGAGAGCCAGTTTGGTGTATAGGTAGTCCTCAGGTTACCATGGCAATTCGGACCAGATGTCCATGCCGCTTAGCAACAGCAATTCCAGCAGTTCAGGTTGCAGCTGTTAAGTGAGGACCTCATGTGACCACAACTTCCGATTTCCTGCTGGCTTCTCCATTGACTTTGCTTCTGGGAAGGCAGTAGGGAAAGTCGGAAAGCACAATCACGTGACCATGGGGAAATTGCGATGGCTGGAACTCTGAAGACCAGTCTTGTTCCCCTCGTTCAGCACCATTGCATGTTTGAATAGTCACTGAATGAGTGGTCGTAATTCAAGGACCACCTGTAGCTGTTAAAGCACTGGGCTAAAAACCAGGAGACTGTGAGTTCTAGTCCCATCTTAGGCATTAAGCCAGTTGGGTGACCTTGGGGCAGTCACTCCCTCTCAGCCCTAGGAAGCAGGCAATGGCAAACCACTTCCAAAATCTCGCCAATAAAACTGCACAGACTACTCCAGGCAGTTGCCATGAATCAAAAACAACTTGAAAAAAAAATTGTTACCAAAATAAAAAAGTACAAAATCAGATTTCATAATTACAATACCTGTAAACATCACATCGGATATAAATCCTTCGAAAGACTGGTCTTTTTCTCTATTTTTGCAAACTTCGGATACGCTGGCATAGCTGGTTGATGGCTGAGGATTGTCTGGGTGTTCTATTCCTGTGAATGGGGAGGGTAATGGGGAGGGAAGTGGAGTTGGGGAAGGAGTAACTTTCTTAGAGAACCCAGTATGTTTGGTTTCCACAGTTTTTTTCCTTTTTTCTTCATATATTTCCCGATAACACTTCAAGATTTCATGCATTTCCCAATGTACCTTTCTAAAACGTTCTACATTTGGATCCATACTTTCCAATTCTGATAAAATTTTGTTAACACCTGAGAAAACACCAGCCAATCTTTTCACACTGAACGTTTTGGGCTCAACTTCTACAATTTTTTTTTCTTCTTTTTCTTTTTCTTTTTCTTGTTCTTTTTCTTTTCCTTCTTCTTTTTCTTCCAGTAGCTGTTGTGCTTCCAATTCTTCTTTCAGCTCGATTAAATCTTCATTTGAAAGCTCTCCCTCAGTGTAGGCTATCAAATTTCTCACATCTTCAGCATCAACCTCTAAATCAAGGGATTTCATTAGTGTCAAAGTTTTCTTATTTATTTCGTTGACATTTTCATTGTGGTCAAATCCTTCAAAATTATTTACAAGAACAGCAAAACGTTTTAAACACTTTTTCCAAATCCCTCGCATGCATTTCACACTAACATCCTGCCATGCTGCTGCAATGTTTTCAATACAATGGAGGACATTGTAGCCTTTCCAAAACTCACACAGTGTTACCCTATCATCCTCCGTTGCGGCTATGGCTTTGGCAAACATTGCATGCAAATAGTATGCCTTGAATGCTGAGATAGCTCCCTGATTCATAGGCTGTAGGAAAGAAGTGGTGTTTTTGGGCAGATAAACTACCTTTAAATCTGGGTGGAGACTCTTGAGATGCGGGGGATGTCCAGGGGCGTTGTCCAGGAGTAGGAGAATTTTAAAAGGAATTCCCTTTTGACAGCAATATTCCTTTACTTGGGGTATGAAACAATTCATAAACCAATCCTCAAAGAGGACGTCTGTCATCCAGGCCTTCCAATTGGATCGGAAATAAATGGGGAGTGTGTGCTCACTTACATTTTTGAACTCACAGGGGATTTCTGATTTGTGAATCAGAAATGGCTTCAGCTTGAATCCGGCGACATTTCCGCCCAACAGTAAGGTTATTCTATCCTTAAAGGCTTTACATCCAGGGGTTGCTTGTACCTCACTGTGTATGTATGTCCGCTCTGGCATTCTTTTCCAGTATAACTCAGTTTCGTCCACGCTGAATATCTGTTCAGGCAAATAGTTCCCCTCTGCTATGATATCATCAAGTTCATCCAGAAAACGTTTGGCCGCTTCTTCATCAACACTTGCAGCTTCACCAGACGTGTGTGTTTTCTGGTAATGAAATCTTTGCTGAAACCGCATAAACCAGCCACGGCTGGCAGTGAATGTTTCAGTGCACTCCTCCCCTGCTCGTTCCTTCAGCGTTGTGAAAATGCTGCGTGCCTTAGCCTGAATCAGAAGGAGGCTAACCGGCAGCCTCTTCTGGATCTGATCTTCGATCCAAAGTATAAGGAGTTTTTCCATTTCGTGGATGAGGCCTTTTCGCTGTCTTGTTATACTTGCGTTCATTCCTGCTGATCCTTTCATCGCCTCTCTGATCCTTGCCTTATCCTTCAAAATAGCAGAGATGGTGGAATGGGCCAGGCCTTCTTCTCGCGCTATGTTAGTTACCTTCTTCCCGGCATCATATGCTTTGATGATCTTCATCTTCAAATCAAGATCAATGGCTTTCCTTTGCTTCTTGGTACTTCCTTCAGCTGTGCTGGTGTTCTTTCTCTTTGAAGACATCTTGGTATGGGATATAAATGCATGTAAACAAGTAAATAAGCAAGTGAAAATAAGAGCAGGTCACACGCAATACTAACTGTAATAGTGAACATGTGACTGAGAGAGAGAGAAGCTGCGAAGGTCATAAACACACACATTGGTCCCAAAATTAATTCTTTTTACTGTTCTATTTCTGATTGGTCACTAACCAAGGTAGTCGGTAAACAAGGAGTGGGAGTAATTTACTGCAGAGAGAGCAGATCATTTCCTGGCTTACAAAGCTTTGGCTGGCTTCTCACAACATAAGCCTAACCCTGGTTTCACAAGCCACAATACAGCCACTCCTCATTTAGTGGCTACCTCAGTAAGCGACCATTCACAAATACGACAGTGATAAATGGTGGAGAAATTTATTTTCCGACCAATGTGCGCACTTCAATCAAAACTGAAACACAAACTATGACCCCTGCTACTACAGCTGGCTAGTAACACATTTCACATGTTAGTAATTTTGATGGCTTTTTGCAGCTGCCCTCATATTCCCCCCCCCCCGCTTCCCCCTTTTTCAGCCTTTGGTGCCTGGATACCTCCTGGTGCTCATCAGCTTCCTGGGGGTTGAACCTCCTGGGGTGCAGGGGCCACTGCCTCTCCAGATCGACCTCCTCCAGAGGCTCTTCCACCTTCACCTTCACAAAGGAATCCAGCTTTTCCCTGTCCATCCAGGCTTTTCCACCGATGTTCGGATCTCTTGGGAGCACAACCTCCCCTCTGGCCTCTCCACAGCCCTCCTCCTGGGGTTCTTCCTTGACTCTCCCCAAGGGGACCTGGAAGTCCTTGGCATCCTCCTCTGATGGAGGCGGGGATGGTGCTGGGGAAAGCCATGACACACTTTTCAGGAATTCCTGCCATTCAGAGTCCCAGTATCGATGCGTTTCCTCCTCTGACTCTGGCTTAATGTGGGATGGGCCGTCCCTGCTCAAAAAGTCCTCGATCGTCCTCACTTGAACAATAAGAGGCTCTCCTTCCCCTTTCTCACTTCCCTCTTCTTCTTTGGGTACCACAAGCTTCTGTTCCTCCATAGTTGTTCCTCCCTGAAGTTCCAGGAGGAAAAAGGAAAGGGAGGAGGAAACATTAATGAGGGAAACACAATCTGGAAGGAATAAAAAGGCCCTCTTCTGCGTCTCTAATATTCGTTACTTGTCCAAGATTTGGAAAACATTCTCTCCTTGGAGTAAAAACAATTCCCTGATGCTAAGGTCATGCTTCATAGCTCCCTAATACAAATTAATTAACAATAAATAAATAAACTGGAGCCCAAGCTCAGTTGAAGCCACGGGTGCTGGTGCTTCAAGCCTCCCGGTCCCCTTCAGTGTCCCTCGGCCTTTCTGTCTCCCTACAATCCTGGGGGCCTCCCAGCTCAGGGTCGGGGCCTGCAGGTTTGGGGCCTTTACGCACAAAAGCTCGGGTGAGCTTGGAATGAGCTCCCTTTGTCTCTGGGGAAATCTGGCCTTTAAAAAGGGTATAAAAAGCTTTTTTTTTCCTTTGATGAGTGGCTTAGTTTAGGGCCTGGTCATTCCACCCTACTCCGGTTAGGTGACAGTTGCAAGTTAACAGCTAAGTTAAATTACTTTATCCAGAGAAAGGTACAAGCGGTTGTTCTGTTGGCAGTAATATTTGTTCACTGGTTCCGCATTACTTTTTTTTTCTGATTTGTAATAACTGGGGGGGGAGGGTGTTGCTGTTTGTTTGCTTCGCTTCATGGCAACGCTGTGTCATTATTACTGTCTCGCCAGTATCACTACCAATATTATTATTATTCGTTGCTTTTGCCTCGCGCCTACCTTCCCGATCGAACTGCAGCCTGGCGGGCGATTCGCCTTCTTTTCCGAACGCGAGGGGGGAGAGGCCAGCGGCGCCCCTGGGGCGTCCTCTCTAGGCGGCGGTGCTCTATGACTTTAACTCTTTCGCTGGGTTGGCGCAAGAGCGCGCTTCAGCCGGGCGAGGAAGATCTCGCGGCTGCCTGGCACAGGTTGAGTGTGGTTGAGTTGGAGGCGGGGCAGGCTCTGGCGTGGCGTGGCGTGGCGTGGCGTGTGGGGTGAACTCAGCCCGTTTCTGGATTGCAGTTCAGCGTAGTGGAGAAATCCGGGATATAAAATTAATCCACTAACCAAGTTAAGTGGGTTGCGTGAACACAGCCGTTGGACTCAGATTTAAGGCTCAGGAGCTCCGAAAGGTCCTTTGGGCTGTTCGTTTTCAGCCCTACAAGGCTGTGATGGTGGGGAAAAATTGAAGAGAGAGTGCTAGATACTCTGCCATGAGTTCCAGGGGTATAAAAATAATGTGTGTTTTTTTTTAATTAGGATTCCAAAGTCTCCCATCTGGTACATCCCATTGAAGGAGTTCAGCCAGTGGAAAATTCACAAACGGTGTTCCAGTGTGGTTGTGGAGACTTCACACAACCTACCTTCCCAAGTTTACATTAAACTATAATGAACTCAAACCAATTTTCTGGGTCTGCAAAAGACAACTTTATGTACAGGATGCTGGGCTATAATGCCATTTGTGGATTGTGGAGACCCAGCCACTGGGAGAGATCCTTTTCTACAGTACAGCAGGGAGTTTTCCTCTCTCTTGATCCAGAAGGCAAGACCAAGTACTTTTGACCCTCCTTCCTGTCAAAGAAATCTCTCCCCAATTCTGGTTCTGTCTCAGCTTCTGAAAGCAGGTTGAGTGCCAAATTCAATGATGTCATTTTCCTTTCCTTTCCTTTCCTTTCCTTTCCTTTCCTTTCCTTTCCTTTCCTTTCCTTTCCTTTCTTGCCCTAAATCTAGGAATGTGAATGCATTCTCCTCACTCCCAAAAGTAGTTTGCCCCACTCTGCCCCTAGATCAGGAGCAGGCAACCTCTGGCCTGTTTTGAGATCGGCTTGCGGGTGCTCTCACAAAATGGCTGCTAGGATGGGCCTGGCCAGTTGCACTCACAACATGCTCTTCAAATCTGGCCATGGCTGATGGGAACTGAAATCTAGCACCACCTTCAAGCGCTCTTGAAGGAAATGGGTTGTGTAGACTAATAGTTCCCAACTTAGGTAACTGCTGTAGCAGACATACAGATTTCAGGTCCCAGAATTCCCAGCAACTGGTCAGGCTAGCTGTGGAGATGGGTCCTGCTGGACCAGATAAATAAATCTGAATCTAATTCTACATAAGAGTCTTTTGGATTGCCGCGGGATAGAAATATGTTGAATAAATAAATAATAAATAAATCAGGGGCCTCGCCCAGTATTTTATATCATGCAATGGCCAATCTGGAAACTCACCAGCATGAACAGAAGGGCCATGAATCTCTCCTCTTGGGGTTCCCCAACAGCTGGTATTTAAGAGCTGCTGCTGGTGATTCAGAAAGTAGCAAAGAGCTATCAAGCAGCCACTGATAGCCAGAGACCCCCAGGAATTTGTCCAGCTGCCTTTAAAACTGCTTATGCTGCTGGCTATCGCTGCATCTGATGGCAGCAAATTCCGGTGAATGAAGTATTCTTAAAGTCATTCTTTCTCAGTCGAGTCAGATGGAGACAAAATAACCCAGTGGTATTGCTACAGACACACCTTGGAGGAGAAGTAAGAGCAGAGATGTAAGATGCACAAGCTGGATCAATCTTTTTCTTTTTTAAAAAGGAGCCTTTATTATTTTAATCCTCACAGTGCACTAAAGATACTCAAGGGGGTCCCCACCTACTATAAGGGGGGAATAACGGTGATCATTCTTAGGTCTACTCAGGTACACGCCTGTCCGGTGTGCACCTTTTTATGTTTTTTAAGATCAGAGCTGGAAACGAAGCTTTTGGGGCACTCGGAGCACTCGTATGGCTTCTCGCCCGTGTGGGTACGCTGGTGCGTGATCAGGTTGGCTTTGACGCTGAAGCTCTTCCCGCAATAGGGGCAGCTGTACGGCTTCTCCCCGGTGTGCCTCCGCTGGTGCTGAACCAGGTGCGCCAGCTGGCTGAAGTTGTTGCCGCAGTACGAACAGTTGTACGGCTTCTCGCCCGTGTGCACCCGCTTGTGGGTCAGCAACCGAGAGTTCGTCACGAAGCGCTTCCCGCACTCCAAGCAAGGGTATGGCTTCTCCCCCGTGTGGGATTTCTTGTGAATGTTGAGGTTGCCCTTCTGGCTAAAACTCTTGCCACACTCAACGCACTGGTGCGGTTTTCCTCCCGGATCAGTTTTTTCAAGACTCGGAAAAGGAGACTCCCAGGGGAGTCTGTCCTGGCAGGCTGTGCCTTTGGGTGTTTTTCCTCTCTTCTGCGCTCCCAAATTGGCTGAGCTTGGCTGAGGCAAATGTCTGCCCTCCGGGCTTCTCCTCTTAGCCTTACACCTGCAGATCACCTCTCGGTTTTCAGGGCCCTCTTCATCCCGTCTCAGGGCGAGGCTACGCTTGGGCAAGCCGCTCCCACGCGGCCAGCCTTTATACGGCTGTTCTCCAGCGCCAGCTTTCTCCTGCGTCCCCGAGCCAGACCTTTTGTAAAAGCGTTCCCCGCAAGGGGTGCACCGCTGCGTTTTCTCAGTCTGTACCTTCCGATTCTTAAGGGAACCCAAGCTCAGACCCAGGCCGTTTTCAGCACCGGCCTTGGTCGTCGTCTTCTTCTTCTGACCGACGGGTCCCTCTTGAGAGCTCCATTCGTGGAGACTTTTCTCACTTTCAGCCGAACAGCGAGCCTGTTTTGCACTCTTCCTTGGATAGCGTTCCTGGCGACTGCCACGAATCTCTTCGAGCTCAGGATCACAGATCAGCTTTCCTGTGATTTTTTCTAAGGGGATTCCCCATTCCATTGGCTCGGATATTCCTAGCAGAAGGGCGTCTTGCTTCTGGGTGTCCTTAGATTCTGAAACAAGCAAGCAAACGATCGTGAAAAACCATTAACACGTCATTCATTGACCAGATTCACACACCAAGTTAAGCCACTCTTTGGGGTCCCAGCTTGCTCAACAAGTCAAAGGACCTGTTTCACCCTAAGCCAGTGTTTCTCAACCTTGGCAACTTTAAGACGTGTGGACTTCAACTCCCAGAATTCCCCAGCCCATATGCATGGCTGGCTGGGGAATTCTGGGAGTT